TACTGATAGGGTTTTTCACAAACCCTGAGAAATCACAAGGAATCATGGAAGACGGTGTGAATCAGAATAAAAAATTGGATTCCGTTTTGGTTTTAGGATGGATTTGAAGTTTCCGGCTATGAAATTTGACGAGGAGATGCGAGGGTGAGCTCAGTCGCCTGCTACAGTTGACTTTAAAAAAAAAAAAAAAAGGCAAAATAATTTCGGCTGCTTGTGATGTTGCCGATTAAGCATCTTTTGTTTTGGAGATTCTTAAAGTTATCATCTTTTGTAAGAATTTGAATAAAGTGGTTTTGCTAAGTTTTCTTTATCATCTTAATGACAGATTTATCATTCTATTTTGCTTAAGTAACCAAATGTCTCTTCCTGTTTTTCTTTATTTGCAATTTTAGAAATTCCGCATTGCCCATAGATTTCTTTCACTACTAAAATTCTTTTTTTTCAGCAACTAAATATCAACAATATGGAATTGCTTGTTGGGGTGATATGAATTTTCACCAACAAGACTCACGTTGCTTATACTTAAATAGTACATAAAATCTCAAAAAATAATATTCATTTTCAGCAACAAGAACTATGTTGCTGAAATTTTCCGGTGAGTTAGGCTATCATTCATTGATTGGCAGCTGCACCATATCATAAATTAATCAGCAACATGGGGAGCATGTCGGTAATATGGATTTTCACCAATAAGACCCATGTTGTTGATGGTTAAATAGTACTGGTAAGGGCAATCTTCCACCTCTTTACTTTGTTTATGGTAACCTTCTAGTGACACGCAAAAGCTTCACCAAAGCTTCCCCTCTGGTTGCGGACATTTGATGGATCCACATGGAAGAAAATGGGTAGAACCATTTGCCCCAACTTGTCCCTACAAGCAAGGATCTTGACAAGCTCGTCCAGGCACCATCCAGAACCAGCATAGTTTGTGGAGTTATTTGCAATTTTTTTTAAGGAAAAAGGAAATTGATCCCGAGTTAGTTTTAAGACTTCTGTGTTCTATTTTGGTTGCCAAGAAAATATAACTGTTTTTTTTTTCCCTTTTTTTATTTTTCTTTTTTTTATCAAATCATCTATTGCACCATTCAATTGGCCCTGATTTTCACCCTTAACCATAAGAGTCGAATCTAAGAAGAGGTAGAGTTGACTATACAATATCAAGATTCAACTTCAAAATTTTAGAATGGAATGTTTCTAGAAACAGTTTAGAGTCGACCCTTCAATAAAATATTAGACTCTAGGCATTAAATAGAGTCGATTCTACATTGTAAGAGTTGACTTTTACGCAAAAAGAGTCGATTCTCATTTCTAATAATTGACTCTTAAAAAATATATTTTATATTTTTATCTAAAATATTTATATAAACTTAAATATATGTCCATATTACTTTTTAAAATTATAAATAAAATTCTACTAATATAATTATATTAATTAATATATTAAATGTTAAATAAAATTCTACTAATATAATTATATTAATTAA